GACCCCAGGCCAACTTCCCTTGTTCAACCTGCCACAGATCCTCGATGGTTTTGGACCGAGAGGAGTGAGTGGGGCGGGGAGGAAGGGGAGGTGAGTCTTCAGCACCAGAAAACCATGGCAAAGCGAGCAATTATGTCGGCACGTCTTCAAATGGAAAAAGTATGTCAGAAGCGGAGAAGTCGGAAGTAAATCTTTGCCTCTGAAACTTTCCCTTCAGTACCTTTACGCGAGTTCCTTTCAGCAACTCAAACCTCTGACCGTGACAATCCTAGGGCGCGGTGAGCTTTATTCCCAGAGTCCAGCTGAATTCAAAATCTGCTAATGTCTTTCAGATAACATCTGGGTTATAACTCAGCATAACTCTGGGAAGATTGAGGTCACAAATTGAGGTCAAAAAGGGTCGTATTCGAGACAGTGACGGTAGGCAAGTGAGGTCTATCAAGTTGAACCATTAAGTTCCCTCCTCATCATGGCATGTTCGCTCTAGCGTGGATACTGACTCTGTACTTACCTTGGATGTGTATTTATATCGTGAATCAGCGAAATCCCGACTGAGTCCATCTAGTTCCGTGGCTATTTCATCCATTTTCGTCGCGAGTGACGTGTTCGATTGAGCCATTGTGGCTGTTATCCACGCGAATATCATGAAGAGGTAGATCATAGCACTGAAGAGTTCGATTAATCTTCGAAATACGGCAACTTCAGCGATCACATGCACGATGCTGACGGAAGTTGACTGAAGAACTAGAGCTGCACTTATAGTGAAGACTGCAGCGAATGAGAGTAAGGACACCGAATTACTGCTTAAACCAGGCGGCACTGCAGCCTCCACACCATGGTAGGAGCAGAGACAAGAGGCATTATCAGGGTACAGCATATGTGCGAAATGGTGGTGTAGGTACGACCCCCTCCCCCTCGAGAGAGGACGTCAGTACTAGCACCTCCCCTCCCCACCTAAATGGTGGTCGACTGGTCGACCCTCCTCTCTTCCCCAACACCTACCTACCACTTCCCTATATTCCCAGTTTGCCACCCAAAAATTTTGCTGTCGAGCTTGGGAGGGGGGGTATGGTGCACATAATTTAGGAAAAACACAAAAACCGGAGAAATATGTTTCCCCAACGCGCCAAAAATTTTCTCCCATTAGCCACACGCGCAACTCCTCCCCTTTCCAACGACCAGGATAAGCACCTGCCTGTCCGCAGCAGGAAAAGTGGTTCCCTGTGTGTTTAGACAGAAACGATGTTCTACCCTGGAGTATCATTCGCGACAAGGGGGGGCACTTTGCACTTTCACTGCTTTCCCATTGCCGTGTCGCCAGACAATCAACAGAGACGTGTTGAATGTGGTGGAGCCAGATGTGGATACCGGTAAAATTTTGAAGAAACTACTCGTTAACTCTTGCAAAGAATTCCTGTCAAGTTCTATACAGTAAGCAGTTCTTTACAGAATACGACAATGGGAAACAGCGAAAGTGTGAAATGCACCCCCTAGTCGCCAAACTGCGCCTCGATTGGGTACAAAAATTGAAACGAAAAAAGGAAAGGTTTCCGTTCTGGTTTCTCGGAATGCGCCATGCATTCCACTATCACTAAGGACCGTGTTGATATTTTGAGCCGGTTCAACCTACACTGACATGCAGGGGTCACCAGCGTACAAACCACTGATTTCGTTCTTGCCCTGAATCGGTACCAGTAAGGCCGTACGGGAGGGGGGGGCGGAAGGCTTTTCACTCGAATAAAGTCGCTCGAACCCCACAAATCACCTGCTTGGTGAGGTGCGCCCCTGGCCATTAATTTTTCCTATGTAGAGGTGGAATTAATGCAACAATGGAAGGATAAAGTCTTCCGCCGTTGATCAATCCCTTTGTGGGATGCGGCACGCATTCTACTTCCATTCAGAATCGTAGTGGGTTATTGAATGCGATGTGGCCTATGCAATGACTTATGGGGCCACCGATGTACAAGTCAGTGTTCTTATCCTCCCAGACAAATCTGGTACCAGTTAGCCGTCTCTGAATGGTGGAAGGCTTGGTTGGCCTGGGCGGAACCGATCCGGGATTTTACCCTGGGATGGCGCGCGTGGGGAGCGTGCCGTTTGCCACTACACACGTGGCCTGAGGTCGAGGTGTCTAAATAGTGATTGTGAAGTGGTTAGGCACGCCATCCGGAAAAATAATTTCGGGTTTCAGTCTGAGGGAGAACATTTTTCTTATAAGGCAGCACCTGTTACAGTATCCGCGATCAAAAATCAGACGAAACAATATAGAAAAGGTGACTGTTTTCTCCAACAACTATCTAGAGCGAGAAAGTCCTGTCGGAACAAAAGGGTGACACACGACTTCTCTTGGAAAACGTGTCCTTAGATGGATTGAGAGCAATCCATATGAACTTTGCCGTGTGACGGCTCATTGCCATAGTAAGCGATGAGGGGGGCATGACACAAGGCAGTTCCAAAACGTTCTCAAAATGATTGCTCAGTGTTTGAAGTTCCATGACCAGTTTTTCTGTTTAGGAGTTAGCGCACGCACTGAGCGGGAGGGAGGAGGCAATTTTGTGTGGCAACCGCGATAACAGAGTTATTATATGTAGACTACATGCAAATGGAACAAGAAGAAAGCAGAACTCCTCCTTTCCGTGGATACAAGCCCATATGGGAGCCTTGGGATACTCCACTGGTTCCTGAATCGTAAATCCAAGCAGAGAACATTTTTGGTGCCAGGCCAACTTGAAAATCGCTCCCGAATTAGTCATGAATCCAGATGTGTGAGTTCAGTTCAGGAACTACCTACGGGTCTGCACTTGCTACCGTATCCACTGCCCACAAGGTTGAGACCATAAAAAGAAAAGACAAAAGGGAAGGAAAATCAGGGCACACAGTCGTCAAGGACACTCCGATGCAAGGAAAAGGGTCGTATTTTGTCGCCAGGGACTGGAAGAGTGGGGAGGGGATCGGAAAAGCCTGTTGATCCTTGACGGTTGACTTTTCCAGTGCCAGTGCCTGAGAGGAAAGCCTTCTTGGGAGCCGAGGTCCCTATAAAGACATATCAGAGCTTCTGATGAAATGCAGGAGGACCTCCCTAGCTAAGTAGATTTTGGAGGGGGGGGGGGAAGAAGTCGTACTGAAGAACGATTTACCTGCCACGGTGAGATACTCTGCGGAAACAGGTCCAAATCCAAGCCAGTCCCGAGTCTGGTAGCGGGTATTGTTCCTAGCTAACCCCTCCTCTCTCTCTCCAGAGGATCTACATGTTGAGAGCTTGCTTGGCAATCTCAATTGCTCTATTTGTAACCATAGATGAGTAGGGAGTAATCTGGGGATGAGCGAGAGAGCGACAGACCTGGTAAATGGAGAGTAGGCGCAGTTCGGCGAGGGGGGGGGCATTTTGCACTTTCACTGCTTCACTACTTCCGGTTTACAAGTCTCACTCTGGTGAAACTTGTGAACTCTTGTGAAGCTGGAGCAAGCTCGTCTAGCCACCACTGTAAAACGTGTCAACTCAAGAAAAGCTATTTAGATGGGTCGACACATCGATGGGAAGCAAAATGTCCCCCCCCCCGTCGGCGAACTGCACTGGATAGTATACCCAACAATAAGCAGCACTTCCACCGGATACTCAAATGTTCCGAGCAGCCTAGACCCACTTGAGTCTCGAACATCGCGAATCGCATTACTTCGTTTCAATAGTGCCTGGAAAGTCAAAAGGATTCGCTCAAACATTTAGCGATCATTCCTACCCGTAAGTTCTGGGCCCACTTCCCATTCTTACCCAAAATTCTATCACACCCTAATCGTTCATTCTTTCCGAGGAACCTCCATGGCCGCTTACCCGTTAGAATATCCAAATCAAAAAATGAACGACTGTATGAAGGCAAGAGAACTAAGAAGCCGCATTAAAGGGAAATTGATAGGCGTCCTGCTTGGTGACGTTAGCCGAAGGGGGTTGTACTTGCTCTCCGTTCCTGAAAAGGTCTCGTTCCCCCTGCTTGCGTCGCAGGTTTAAACGGTCGACTGTTGGCCGATAGCTTGATGTAATTTGTTTAGGGTATGTTGGACGCTGTACCTTCTCCTATTCAACTCGTTCGGTTTGTTGTGGCTGCCAAGACTATCGCCTTTTCCTGTGTAGACATGTTGCCAGGCTGCTAGTCGCGTCAATTCCCAAATGATTTCACCCAAATTTAGGATATACATTCAAACTGCCTGCCCTCGGGTAGATCCGAAACATGGCCGTTCGTTTCTACCATAAAAACAAGTTATTGAAATCCTAGGCATACGAGTTCCGAACTGGAAAAAAGTGGGCGGAGAGGAGTTTTTGTTGCCATTCACCCACTTGTTGTAGGAATTTAGTTGGGCAAGTGGCAGAAAAACTGGCCACTCAATTCTTCGCCCCGGTGATTTCTCTGCTTGATGTATGCCAATGAAATAAGCCGTTTCAAAAGTTCGCTTCGTATGACACTTGTGACGTATGACGCTTATAGGGGCAGAGTAAGTTTGTACTAAGAATGATAATGCCTGCAAATGTCCAGACGAAAGGGAGGCTAAGTCGAGTGCACAATATAGGAGAATCGGATCGGGAACACCCAGCCGTAGCTGGAACGCCCCACTTTGCCCTGGATATGTACTGTCATGAACGGGGCACGTTGGGAACGCTCAGCGAAGGGGAGGTAGCTTGCCTTGTGACGCCTAGGGGAGAGGATAGGCATTATTGCCTTAATGGAAGTATATTTGCTTTGTTGACTTTTCCGGTTCCGTTGTTTTATCCAACAAGCTCTGTGCATATGCACTCAACAAAGTTGCTTTATTCTCTCCTTCCTGCTGCCACACCCTAGAGTGCAGTTTCGAAAAAGTAGGAAATTTACCACCGAAAAAAGTACAGATGATACGGTCATAGCTATGTAATCGTGATAATTTAGGGAGATGTAGGTAGGAGTGCAGGGATCAGGAAGGGACAGAGTTTTTGATACTAGACAGGTAACTTTCAGGAGGCTTGCATTTTGCAAAGTTTTTTTCCAGCGCCAGCGAACGGCGTCCTGACTGTAAAATGGAGCCAGCTATTGCAAGGATGGAGCAGTACCGACTGCATAAGTTTACCACGGTGTTTCGTGATAAGCAGCGAAATCAGTGAATTTGTTTAGTCTGAATGGGACCTAAATGCGATGAAGATCACTCCCTTTCAATAGATCAGGTCCGATCCTCAGCTCCATTCAAAGAATAGTCATGAATAGCGATTAGGAGTTTTTTGCCACAGGACCACTGTGGTGAGTAACCAACGTCTCCTGTTCTCCTCGCTTGTTTTCTCGGCCTAATACCTTTCAAGCATACTGCTAGCCCGGATAAGTAAGCACGTTGGCAGGCGTAGTCCATAAGGAATGTGTTCTGGACTCTAACTTGACGGTCGCCAGTGATATGGAATGTCTATGTCAATTCAACCCATGGTACAGCATCGAGTATGAATCATGAAGGTAAGAGTTTACACTCAGCCGAAACCTGTCAAACGCCATTTAATCCCGAATCTTGTTCTGTCTTACCATTAGAACCTACCTACCATCTTCCCCAGCCTTCCCCAAAATGCCGTCGTGGAGGTGGAATCCTGCGGTTAGCTGTCAGAAAAAGTAAATTCGCTGCTCTAGCAACTTAGAAAAGGCGAGAAGCGGAGAGAAT